TCCCCCGTACACCCGTACATATGTAACTCACACTTAAACTCATGGGAAGAATGCCAAGTAGTAATTTATATTTTTATTATTATTTTAGAGTGCTGATGGCCCATGCAAAGTGACTGGTGAGGTGACTGGGCTGAAAGAAGGACTGCATGGATTTCATGTCCATCAGTTTGGTGATAACACTAATGGTACAAGCTTGGTTTTTATTTGTCTCTTGTATTTGAAAGGATTAATTTTTTTGTTAACAGATAGTACTCACATATAGTATTCATATTGTACTTATATTCTTAATGAATAATGTTTGTCGGAACTAGAGACAGTTTAAGATTAAAAAAAAGACTGTTGGGTCTTGAAATTATCTTAATTGCATGTAATTTCAATGTAGGGAACATTATGTAGTTCTCCTGTGGATTGTTCTGTTATAATAAATATTTACATGATATATTGTTACATGGTTATAGGTTGTACCAGTGCCGGCCCACATTTTAATCCATCAGGAAAGACTCATGGTGGACCTGATGATGAAAACAGGTAGGATTAGAATAGCTAACTTGCTCCACTGGGACTTGCTGAATGCAGTCAGTCTAACACCCCATTTCCAGAGATTAGATCGATCTACTTTAGATCGACCTAACTCCCTGGGGGTTCACGCTAAATAGCTGTCAGCCGAGCGGACATGAAAGTTAATTACCCTCTTACAGCTTGCAGTAGGCGGGACGGACATTTAAGCCGGATTATCTGACAGTAATCTAATGAGACTCCCCGCGGGGATAGGTCGATCTAAAAGCTCTGGCAATACAGCCTAATATGCTTCCTTCTGGTATTGGCTAGATCAAAGAGAAGTTGGCAATCATACTAGTACATTGGAAACAAGGAGGCGTATTCATCTGTTAATCTGATAACATTCAGCGAGAGAATGGATTAAAATTATTTCAATATATTGAAGGATTTTTCACCCTAGAAGGCAAAAATGAAGGAGAAAATAAATCTTCCATTCAAACATTACAATAAAGTACAAACAAAAAAATTCATGTTATATTTCAGACTCCAAGCTGAGAGACACGTTTATATTTCAGACAAAAGGATATCTAATTTGCAAATAAGTCTGATTAGTTGCAGAGGTTTATCAACATTAAAAGGGCTTTTTGAAGTAATTTACACGTATATCAAAACAGAGCATACTATGTTATCTGTTCTAAAAATAACATGAGGAAAACCTAAGCCCTGGATGGAATATAGTCTTCTTGGAAAACTGGGTTTCCCACAGATCACACTTCTTAAAGAAGTCAGCTATCTCAGCTCAGTAACACACTAAGATTTTCCTTTCAAAGCACTTTCACTTTCACTTTCACTCAGGTGTGAGTTGGTGAGTGTAGATGGAGTTCCAGGAAAGACAAGCATTCTAGTGTGTTGTATACAACTAAGAGGCATCAAATGCCCACACTGAAAATCCTCTGATACTTATTGTGTCAACTTAACCTTGTGAATGTCTACGCAGGCCAATGATTGTAATGATACAGAGAAGAAATCATTCAAATGAAATAAAAAAAAAAACTTATAACAAAGCTTGTATTACTACAGTAAAATGTTTTAGTGGAATTTTATTTATAACTCAACACATGCACACTATTAAAGCACAAAAACAACAAAGAAGGAGCAAAACTTAGTTATGTGATGTTTAAAAAACTTACGAGAGTGAATCTGTTCTATTGCAAAATTACCCTAAGGACTGGAGTCAAACAATTAGAGTATTGATAGTCATTGCAGCAGTGGCTGGGAAAAGATAATTTTATGAAAATCCATCACACAAGCTAGTTAGCATAGCTATATATTTCTCTTGTAGCACTGGAGAAATAAAGCCTGGAAAATTGAGTGTATTTCACCCTTAAAAGTAGGGTTGAGGTGTAATTCAAGACAGGGAGTGACATCTGGTAAAGCTATTAATGTCAGATATTTGACATAATTTCAGGCACTTTGGTGATCTTGGTAATATCAAAGCAGGGATTGATGGTAAAGCTATTAATGTCAGATATTTAACATAATTTCAGGCACTTTGGTGATCTTGGTAATATCAAAGCAGGGAGTGATGGTAAAGCTACAGTGGCTATCACAGACAAACTGGTGACACTGACTGGACCAAACTCTGTAATTGGAAGAACCATTGTGGTAAGTAAAATTTTCAGTCTCCTGGTAAGTTTTTCAAGTAAGAATTCTATATTTATCTTGGGAATTTTGCTCATTAAATATACTCAAATGGCTCTGTGTAATACAGTTTTACACCGAAGTCAAATTTTTGTCAGAAGAAACCATTGTAATTTTGAAAAAACTTAAAGTAGCACCAGTTAGAAATTGTAAAAACTGATATTTTGAAATCTGCCTTTTCTTTGCTCTAGGTTCATGAAGGTCAAGATGACCTTGGTAAAGGTGGAAATGAGGAAAGTTTGAAAACAGGCAATGCTGGGGGTAGGCTGGCCTGTGGTGTCATTGGAATCACTCACTAGACTCTGCTGGCTGATAAAACTGGCTTCTTGTTATCTTTATCTGATCAAACTGTAATCCTTTAAAGAAGTAAGGTGGAAGAAAGCCTTATGTTCCTGTAATTATGTTTTGTTTAAGTTTCTATATTCTACAAACTACATGCCTTCTGTCAAAGTTAAAAAAAGGTTTGAAGACGTATGTGGAATATTGTAATGATTATGTATAACATCTGTTCTGTGCCATTAGTCAGTGAGGTCACTGATAGTAATGGCTGATTGTTGTATGTTACAGCCAGTCATTTTGTTGTAATCAGAGTGATAATTTCTAGAACTCTTTGAGGCAGCTTAACTTAAGTTACATACTCACTCAGCCCTAGTGTAGTGATACCTGTTGTACACAGGGTTCATGAATTTTTTTTTTTTTAGAAAATCCGTGATGTTTACATATTTGTAACAAACTTGGGACTATCACCTGCTTGCTTTACTGCCACATTGGTTTATAACTAAAGTGTGCTGGACATTGTAATAAATATTTTTATGCTGCTACGTACTGTTTTTCAATGAAGTATCATACATTTGAAAAACACAGAAGCTTTATTTCCGTTGCAAAGCTGTCAGTCTAGATGCATGAATGTACAGATACAAAAAGCTTCCAAATGAAGTATGACCAGTATTTGCCTGTCAAGCATTGCATAAAAAGTCCATATATGACAAAATGCGCTCCAACTGGATAGCTCAGTGGGTAGGGGTATGTGTGTAAGTACAGCGTTTTCAGTAATCACGCTCAATTGCACTTCCTGTGGCACTTTGTCTTGGAGAACCCTGAATCAACTGTTTTTATTTTCCCCATCGTCTTTGGCAAAAATGTTTCACACATAATGGGCAAAATACACTAACCTTTAAATCTGTCTTGAAAAAATGAGCACCACTGCAAGACACAACTGAAAATTATAATAAAAGTAAACAGCTGTAATTTGGCATTATATGATATAAATGAATTACAATGAAAATAAATAGCTGTAATTTTGCAATGTGACATTTATGCACATCTCTGTGCTATGATGCGTAAACATGANTTTTATAGGCTTCGTTCACATGCAATTTCTATTTTCTATTTTCTCTTTTCTATTTTCGGTTTCTCTTTTGACCACGGTATGTGCACTGAATATCCCGCNTATTACCGTAACATCGAGGAATGGGAGTTGTGTTAAACTTGAATCCATCGTAAAATGTAAAGAGGGATGTAGGTTGTTGAGGATCAGGTTGAAATCTTTCAATTCATTTTCTGTTTTGTCCCAAATTATAAAAAAAAAAAAAAAAATATATATATATATATATATATATATATATATATATATATATATATATATATATATATATATATATATTTTTTTTTTTTTTTTTTTTTTTTTTTTTTGTACCTTAAAAGTCTGAAACGATGTATATTTTTTTTTTCTCCTCTCCTGAAAAGTAAGTTGTACAAAAACATGGTATATAATATGTTAACTAGGACTCGTGAAACATTTGCGGGGTCCAAACTAGCAAATGAGTTTTTCCTATTATTCTGTTGCTTCTAAACTGGAAACATAGTTAACCGCCCGGAGAAGGCCCCGCTCTTGAAAGGCCTCCACTGCCTTAGTACGGGCGAAGTTTTTCAAGGCTTGAGCTGTGACGAACCCCAGGCTGCGGTCGCGATAGGAGGTCCTGGTGCGCGTCTCCAATTCTATGCCCAGAAAGTGATCCGTGTCCGTCCTGATCACCTTTTCCTGCGCCACTGTAAAGTCCAGTTTGTATAAACACGTGGCGGCGTCTATGAAACCCGCGCCGTCTTTAGCTAGAGCAATCATACCGAAGTAGACGACGCCGGATTGTAGGTCATCTCCAAAGGAAAACTCGAACATTTTCTGGGACCACTGTTCGGACCAGCGGATCCCCCGGAGTTTCTTCCGGACGTCCTGACCAGATTTCCGCATTTTACGGTGGATTTTCTCTATCAGCTGATCAATTTGATCGACGGTAAAATCGTGGAACTCGCTCACATCGCACCGCTCTTCCCAGTGAGAGAAGTACTCCCGCTGTAATTTCCTCTGAAGTTCGGTGGCGTCTGATTTGCAAACCTTCACCATAGACAGCCCTCTGTCTACTTTCGACAGTGCTTTGTTGTCTCCTCGTATTCCACATGGTCCGATGACTGTTTCATGGAAATAAGAGGGGGTGGCCGCAGCATCCACTCTTTTACCTGTGATAATAGACGGATATCAAATCTTAAATTTTGATTTTACAGCACTTATTAGGTTTGTTTAAACGTTCACTCTGGTAGCTTTTCCTTTACTTCTTATGTACTATTTACATTGGGTTTTTAGCGGGCAGGAAAAATTGATTGGCGAATGTTAGTTTTAAAACACTCGCTTCACATAATCGAAAAACGTTGCTGTCACTTTCACTTTCAGAAACAATGTTCTGAATGTTTCAGACACAACATAAACAATGATTTTTGAAATCATTCCGGTATCTAAATAAAATATTAACCTACCTTGCCGTTCGTATGAAGTGCTAGAAGAGGTTCCTCCCATTGTAAATTATTTGCAAAAAACGCTCTCAGTACTGGCACGTCTTGCCTCTGACAGGAGAAGAATACTGCTATCTCTGCGACCTTCAGACACTGAGGGACACTGGCGCCTCTATCGGTGGCGATGTTGAAACCCGCTGTAATACTAATAGTGTAGGCAGTAAATTTACCAGCTAAGTTACAAATTCTCCTGACTGGGTCACATCTCTATAAAGTCTTCTGTTATAACGTAGGAGTCCAAGGCTGTGCATACGAAACCTGGAAAGCCCAATTTCTGAGCCAGGAATCGTCTTGGAATTTCCAGGGGAATTCCCCAGATATCATTATCATATAATTTCTATTTTGATGCTACATAAACATGCAGAAAAAATTTTACAGAGACTGTGTGTACACATAAATGTGTGTGTGTGTGTGTGTGTGTGTGTGTGTGTGTAAGCCTACAGGGTTTTACGAGGCACAAATACGCGTGTTACGAGAGTATATATCAGAACGTAGGTGGACGTTCATATTGTGAAAGTAGACTTTGTGAATTTAAGCAGATACGTGTAGATATAAACACAGCAATGATCTTTCTGTTTTACTTTGACTTTCAATGGACAAAAGGAGTGATTGGTAGTCACGTTTATTTACGTTTCTCTTATACCATACAAATAGAAAGAACTGAATATCACATTTCTAGATGATTCATTGTAGGTTACCTAGCTGTGGAAGGCACTGGTCTCAAAACCTACATTTTGCAGAGAATGTCTTTAATACCACTATGATAGCACTGAGGATTATGTATCCATTTTACCAGTTGCTTTCTCTTGTGTCAGAAGATTTGAGGTGCTTTCGTTTTACACGTTGGACAAGGGATACCACAGGAAAGTGCACTTTCTTAAATTATCGCATTGTGATTGAGAAGGTGCCAAAATTCAAGCGGCAAAGCATTGTGTCAGAGATGCCGGAAATATTGGTGCACCGTTTTGTGACGCGTTTTTAATTCTTTTTTTTTTCTTTAACATAAATTGATAGTGTTTTGTTATTTAAGACAGCGTGGTCTTATAATGAATAAAAATAGCAATTTGCAAGTCACTGAATTCTGACATGATCTGCACGCGTCCATGTCAGAATGAAAACCGATTTATTTCAGACTTTTTAATGGAACTAATTCGACATTTTAAAAGTTAATTAGAACTCTGTCCTTTATTCTTGTTTGGATCATTAAGTATGAAATGATGATAATTCATAATCAGCCTGCATGAAGTATCTCAAAGTTATGATGGCATGTGGGTTATGACTCATCTTTCTGCAAGATTTGCCACAAATAATTCATAACAATGCTTAAAGACGTTACACCTCTGAATTGCCGGAAATAACGATGAAGTTAAACGCTTAAATTCCCTATTGCTACATGATCAGAAATCTGAAATGAAAGTGGCTCCGTACTATCAGTTTTCACGTTATTTCACTCTGATGACTGAGCAAACCTCAGCAAGGACGCACGCATCATACTATGGAGCGGTGTCACAGCACGCACAGGTGTAGCATTTGTTCTGCTGACAGCGTCAACCTTCACTGATATTTCTAAATATCCACTGATCTTTATTTTATATCTCTACTGGCACTTGACTGGATTTTCGTTTTGACCGAAGTAACAATTCTATCCCAAAATATGCTGTTATTACTTTCATTTCAAGAACTAAGCGCTTTTCAAATTGTCTGTTATTTAACTTGAGAACATCAGTTTCACTCCTATAAGAATGGTAAGAATAATAATAAGTATGGTATTGTATTTTATATTTCATTGATCAGAGAAACATACACCGTTTTCGATGTTTGTATATCTTGATTCATACACTTGCTGATAAAGAAACCTATACAATAAAAATATACTATAAAAATAAAGAGAAAACTATAAATATATAGAGAAAATATTTAAAATAGAGAAATCTAGACAAACAGAGAAAACTCTAACTATATAGAGAAAATATAAATATATAGAGAAAACTATAAAAGTAGAGAAAACTGTAAAAGTGTAGAGAAAACTACAGCCATATATGCTCTGTTCCAGTAGTATGGGACGGTCACAATGTGTGGGATCAGAGAGTTCATCTCTGTAACGCTGAGGTAACTTGTAATGAACACCCCTTAAAATTTGATTATAGTTACTAATGAATTATTTACAGGGTTCTTTAAGCGCATGGCAAATAGGGTTAAGGATACACAGTCGGGTCCTGTCGCAATGACCCGTATAGGGTTCGATGAACAGCGTCTCGCTCACCCATCTTAGACCCCGGGTGAGGGGAGGGTTCTGCACTAACGCTGCGCCAAGACCTTCCGTCATTTTCTCAAGTAATCGATGACTGGGAGAGGCGATGTTGAAGAGGAGTTTGCTGTGTAAGCACACCTAACAATGGAACACTGTGTGATATGGTGAGGAAAGTTGACGAAATATATTATTGATGGACTTGTATGCGTTACGCACTGGAAACTTCAATGATCGGTATATTTTAGGGAGAGGCAGATGAGGAGGCCGGTAAGGCAGGCAGGAGGGCGTGACGGGTTCAAAAATACGTGGTGAGGGGAAGAAATTCTGAAAAGGGAAGAGCTCCCTACCAAACAGTGTTAAAAAGAAAATTTTAAAAAAGCATATTAGTAATCAAAATCAACCTATTTTGTTAGTTAACACTTTTTTCTGAGACTTCTCCCCAAAATTACCCATTGCCGTGTCAACATTTATAGGATCCAGTTTCTCCGGAGGAAGGACGTGTCTTAATGTCCCCCCCTCACGCCGGTGATCTGCATACTCAATCAGGAAGGGAAGTCAGCTGTCACATACAGTCTTTGGCTAGCGTGTGTCATAGACACAGACACACCAGGTTCAGTGTACAGGTAGAGCGCAGTCAGGTTGTGAGAGAGCTGACGGGGCCCAGTGTACCTGGTTATTATGAGTAATCCGCAGGTATAGGTACAATAGCCCTTCAGTTGACGTCGCGGTGAAGGGGGAACTGAGCTCGTTACGAGACTTATGCATTCTGACATGCATGACCGTAAAATTGTCACCAAGTCGCAGTCCAGCTGAACGCTTGCCCATTACGTGCACACGGAGCACGCTGTCAGAAAGAGCACGGCCGGAATATAGACACTTTTTAAGTTGACATTTAAAAGGGCGCTGAGAAGCCACGGTGCGAATTACATGTACAAGGGCGACAGAGAACTTTGCAAATAGCTTGAGGTTTCTGCGAGGAAGGTCGCTGAACTGGGTTGTTCTCTCAATAATTCCCTGATCCATATCCTAGTGGCGTTTATCGTGGATTATGTATGCAGTGTTGATGGTATCTTCTGGCGGAGGCCTGTGAACACTTGAAATGAAGTGATTAGGACACGGGATATGTCGGGGAGAAAGGCCCAGTGGGCATCAGTTTCAGGTAACGACACAAACATAGACTCCGACTAAAGTTTACCTCTGTTAAAATACCTGTCCATTACCTGTACATCGGGACCTGTAACCAGTTAGGGCGGCGAGGCCAAGGTATTGCCTGTTACATAGTCGTACGTGTTTGACTGGGACTGTGATAGTACATATGGTACCACCACTAGAAGGACGGAATGGATGACGAGGATGATTTGAGGAATTCATCGGGGAACGTGTCAGGGGATGAAGAAGATGCGGCGGTGAAGCGAGGGGACAGAGACCACTCACAGACACGGCGTCCCTCTGTTGATGGCGAGGAGGGTTCTGAGGACGCAGAGCCGTACTTTGAATGGGCGGACGAAGCAGTTGACGCCCGCCTGTTTCTGTTCCAACATCAGCTGCCTCAAGTGGTAAAACTGAGCAGTGGTTTGTACAGTAACCTTGGCGAGAAGACCACTCTCAACTCCCAGCAGCCGTTCCTGCTGTATTCTGCTCGCAGAGGGACCAAAGTTTTCGCCAGTAATCTACACTGGGACGAGGAGAGAGCAGAACATAAGAGAGATGGGCCAGCTCTTGTCATCCCTGTCAACTATCAAGGTGAGTTATAGTCAGCTTTGGTGTACTAGCTGAGTACAATTTAAAAAAAATAGTAATCAACTCGACTGGGCCACAAATTCTCATAATTCTAATATAAAGAAAAACCTTCCTCTCCCACCCCCGCCGACATAAAACCAACACACTTGAGGCTTGTGATGATTTGATGATAATTGCCTCATTCAGATGAACTTAATTAAGGGATTGTTAAGACTCAAATATAAATTAATCTTGAAGCAACCGATTCTTGTTAATTATGCTTCAACTCGAAACGATTAAACACAGCTGCTCTAAGCTGCCCCAAGTTTCTCTTGAATACATGAGGAAGCAAAAAAAATCACGCATCTGAAAAAAGTAACCTGTCTTATGACAATAGAACCCGTTCACCTAAGCCACCCATAACTACTTGATAAATTAGACCAGCTGCAGTTTTTTTGACTGCATCATCACCGTGCAGACAGCATCTCTTGTCTACAAGAACAGCACTTAATTTGCATCACGCAAACAGAACAGAGACAACTTTATTTTTTAACACGGAAAACAACTTTAATGGTAAAAAAACAACGTAATGATTTGGTTTCGTTTTCAAAAAAAGGGGGGAGGTTGAATATTATTGCAATTTATATGGATATGTCAGTTTATATTTATGGGCCACTATAAACCAGCTACGAAGACACATGTAAACATGTTTTTGACGTTTTTTTCTCTATCTTTCTGTCATATCTGTACCGTCACTGGAGTCAACTGGAGTAAAGTCATGAGGGCGTGTTCGATAATAAATTACAAATGGTTATGACTTTTTTAAATGTTGTTTTAACCTGAACCAAAGGTACCAGGATTAATCTTTGTCTGAGAAAAAGCTGACATTAGCGGGCGGGAAATGATCTTTACTGCTTTTCAACTACAGAATATTTTCATTTTTATCAAGCCCAGAGGCAAGAGGGGTCAATATCGTAATATTAGATGTAAAAACAAAGTCAGAAAGGCGCCTGATGTGTCCATTTTCTTTCTTTGATCTCAAGGACCCTGTGAAATTACTCATGTTTCAGCATTATCGTTCTAAACAGTGACTCTGTAAGACTGTTATTGAAGCCTATGTTCCAACCAGAGCAGTTTTCAAGGAAGCATACTTGTATAATGGGAGGGTGGGGGGTGGGAGGGGGGCTGCTGTGTCCCACGGGTGCCTGTATGGTCCCACCACTGCATGGGGACAGTAGATTGTGACACGCGGAGATTAACGCATGTTGTGAGTGCAGGTTTGGAATGAACTAACTTGAAGATTGCCATGTTAAAAATAAAGAAATGGAAAAGTTTCAAAACCTAAGATTGTTGAATTCTGCAAGAAGGAAAAGAAAGATTATTCATATAGCACATGGGTGTGTGCAAATAGGGCTGTTTACATTGGGGCCAAAATAAATGGTAGCCCTCTGGATCTAGTCCATGCAGTTGATATAGAGGTATGAGGTTGCTTGACGTCTACTTCAGCCACACAAAAGGTCACTTGGACAAGTTTTATCCAATACTTTAATTGTTAAAATTAGAGGTTGATTTTCAGCTCAAGTCCTTCACAAAATATTGTCATAAACTCTTTCTCCCAGGCGGTACTATGTAAGCAACATTGTTCTCGTCTGTTGACGTGTAACAATCTGTTTAAGCCTGTGTGTGTTTGCTTCTATCCGCCAACACAAGGCACACATTATGAAAGTCAGACAAAGCCGTGCTACCGCTGACTATTTTTCTTCAGGACGACGAGGCCGGATGAAAAACAAAAATGTACTTCAAACCGAAAAGTCTTATTTTGCGTTGCATTTCAATAGGCGACCTTAATGAAGCATGTGAAGGGAACAAACCCAGCACAGTTAGATATAAGATATGGAGCTCCTGCTCGGCTTGAAGTTCACGGTTTACAGGCCAATTCTTACCACACTTTTATCGCACGAATGCGTGCACGGGCTTAAAATTCTTTGATTATTAGCCGGTGGTCAACCCCTAAATGTACCCACTGACCACACCTAGATGGACGCAGGTGTGCTGTTTAGTTGCCATCAAGTGGCCTGTTTATGTGGTGAAGGGCAGAGGTCGCATTCACGATCCTAAGCTTAATGCGTCTCTATCTAACTACACGTATTGTACTAGAATATGTCATATACTACCACCATTACGTCTGCAAAATTTTAATATCAAGAAAGAAATTAATTAAAAGGAAAGTTTTAATAGAAATATCGTACAATTAATGAGGAAATATTACCACAGTCAAATGTGGACCTCGTTGATGTCTTTGGCAGCATCTCCATTGATGACCAAGATTAAGATAATACCAGGTAGTTGGAGATGAAATTATAACAGCAGGTTAGGGAGGACACACAGGGATGACGTCATCAGAGACAGGTGCTTCATTCAACAATGCCCCCACCCCCACCCCCCCGGGACATGGCAGGCTTTAACTGTCACCGTGAACACCTATGACTTGACGTTTACCTAATGTAAGGAACAGAAGGTAGAGCTGTCCCTTTGTGTGTGTGTGTGTGTGGGGGGGGGGTAAATAGTCTGTGTAATTGTATTGTATTTTACAAAGCCAGCATTATCACAATGTTATTAAACTGAATCTATTTCATTGCATTGCATATAAGATATTTTTATTATAAACGTTTTCGAAAAACATAAACCAAAATAAAAGCAATGTGATATGTAGAGAAAGACCTATATGTCTAGCCAGGGGGTATGACAGGCAAGGGTTAACAATAGGGGCAACCATAAAACAGCATGTTGCTATATACTTGTTGTAAATAAAAACATGAGTTACATATAAAGCCACAGAGTAACTAACATCAATGGGTTATATATGGCACCGGCACAACGTTGTCTGACTAGTTTTAGAGCAGTAAATATTGTCTGTTTGATCACCTTCACAGAGAGACGTGTTCATGTATATGGCACGAGTTCCCGCCAGGCACTGTACTGTCCTCTGACGTGTGTCATATGACACTTACAAACACATGTCAGTGACGACATATATACCAGCACTTTGCGTCCTACTAGTACTAGGCAAGTTCTAGTGCCATCTTGCCGAAGTTAAACAGCTGACAGTAACTTTCGGGATAATTTTTTACAAGCTTGTGACCACAAAAATAGTATTTACTGGATCACGTCTTACCAAAGTAACATTATAGTCACAAGCGTCTGTCCAGCACTGCATCATCACGCCTGGATTGCGTGGAAGTGGTCGTTTGCTGGGCTGACGATTGAGAATTACGCGGTGTTACTGTATCGGATACCAGAATGTATAGTTTTAAGACTGGCACTCACAATCCCAAATAACATTTACAATTTGAAACCATTCTTTGGAATTGCCACAGTATTAACGATTCAATTCACAATGAAATTTATAAACAAATTGGGTGGAAATTGCCATGTAATTCAACCCCTTGAACACAAAGAATGCATTGTTGCCAAAGATGTTCTCTTATGTAGCTTATACCACTGTCACATATAGACTGCTTGCTGCAAAGTGACACGCGAGTAACTTTATGTCACACGATATTACCATAAAGGGACATGGTGGATAGTCTTCTTTTTTAATAGTAACATTTCTTAAGTTTAGAAGTATTCTGTGCGGTCTTGCTCGTATTTCTGCCGCATTTCAGATTTTATCTCCAAACTTTTCTCAAAAGGCTAAAAGGTATATAATAAGGTGGACTACCCGTACATACACAAGACATTTCTATCTAATCTGACAATTTTCTACCAGGAAGACAACCAGAGATTGAAAAAAAAAATGATATCCGTAATCCCAGCGCTATATGTGTGCCACAATGCTACGTGAAAACCCGATTAAAGGGGAAGATATCTTTCATTTAACCACCCCACACCACTGTACATAACGTTGAATCTGCATCGAAGACGGAATGAATTACAGCATTAATGAAGGATTATTAAAAACATATCCTGACAAGGTTTCGTTATTATTCGAAAGATAAAATCCCTTAATGAAGTTTGGTCACGCCTCTGTCGCGGCTCTGAGGGTTACTTAAAACTATGATATCTTTAACTGGGAACAAAGCAAAGCTGTTTGAAATTTAGTTAAATAAAATGATTTTTATGTGATGGAGACGTGGTGCAATAATGTTTGATTTATTCCATCCCAAAATTCCCAAATGAGAATTGCATTAGAATCGCTTTTTAAAAACTCTTTATGTTTAAGCAAATGGGCGAAGATAAAAGAATAATTAAGGAAATGTAAAGGAATTAACTGCTGTCGTGGTATGGTCGTCAATGGATAGTCGGACGTGTATGAAAAAATTTCTTATAGCTCCAAATTTATGCCTTCTTTGTTTGACTGGTATGTGAAGACCTGTAGGATTCTAAAGCTGTACGTGCAAATGCATTAGATTTTAAGGATCCCATTAACTATAAAATCATACTTTAATCTAATTTTATGGTCTTTTTATGCAGTTGTCAAGATAATGAAATTAAGGTAAGCCCTGACGACCTCGTCAACATTATCAAAGGTTACACAGTGTCAGTTATGGTTCTGTACCCGCGAGGGTTTTTATCTTGAAAACTTCTCTCATTTTATGAATATCATTACTGGTTTTCTGAAACCGTTTTACTATTATTGTTCTGCCGTCATAACTTTGATGGTATGTAGAATTTTACAGCAAATTCTTGAATTTGAAATAAAAATAAAAAGTAAACATTGGGACCGGCTTTGGTAAGCGGTTTAGTGGCGCCCAGAGAGGCAAGCCATCGTTATAGGTACCACATACAGTGGTCCACTTATCTTTATTCCATAGAAGATCACTCACCTCTGACGAAAAAAACATATTTTTTATACGCGCGGATGCAGTCAGGCAGATTATTAGATATAGAAGCTAAGGTGTATCGCAGAGCAATAAAGATAAAGCACAATGGTTACCACAGCAGCGGGCGTGCCTTTTACAAATCTCATCGATTCTCTTACCTCAACGTGGATGCGAGCAGAATATTCAGCAGCACGCAATCTT